TATTACCCACGACCCCGACCTCTATCCTAACCCAGACGTCTTCGATCCTGAGCGTCACCTGGGAGACAACCCACAGACAGACCCTTACAAATTCGTGTTCGGATTCGGACGTCGTATCTGCCCAGGAGCTCATTTCGCTCAACGGTCTTTATTCTTGAATATTTCAAACGTTTTGGCCGTCTTTAACCTCGAGATGGAGTGCGATAAAGCTGGAAAGCCCGTCAAGCCTCAGGCCAAGTTTACTAATGGTGCTACGTCGTACGTTTCCTGCTTTACCACATTGACCAAAAGAGCTGTCGCTGACTTTTCCGTACTAGCCACTTGGAAATATTCCCATGCAAGATTATCGTTCGGGCTCCCCATCTTCTCCCCGCTCTTGAGAATATGGAATAAAAATAATATCCACTCTTTCGTGTGATATGCATACAATAAACTTCCTAATTCATGGACTATAGAATATTACATTTCCAGGGCGCATAGAAACTACTCATACAACGATTGATTTACTTCTTCTCCTTTATAGGGAATTCGTGTCCTGTCGTGGTCTTGTACTGATGACGAATTGCATCTGCGATCTTGTCGTCCTTCCACTGCTCAAAGTGAGACTCGTCATCCTGCGGGCCTTGCTTCAGAACGTGCTCTTGAACAAAGTCAATAGCTGAAGCGTGACTTGTGTCAGACAGGATGAGGAAGATTCATGGGTAAACTCGTACCTTTGTCGAGATGGTCTGGAAGGAGAATGATCAGAAACACGTCTCGATTCTCATCAATTAACCATTAGAAACACACCTTCGTCCTTCTCCGCCTTCTTCAGCCCAAGAGAAGTGCTGATCTTGTCCGACAGACCTTGCTCCTTTGGCGGTTCTTCTTTATGGAAAGAAGAACCAATCTTGTCAAGCAAGCTCTCCTCCTTTGGTGGAACGGGTTCTGGTTGGTGACCTAACCCAAGTTTATCGAGCAATCCTTCCTTCTTCGCCTCTTCGGTTCGCTTCTCTTCTCCATGAAAGGCGGTATGAATCTTGTCAGTGAGCCCTTCATGCTTGGCTTGAGGCGGTGGAGGCGGTGGAGTCTTCTCGCCGGTGAAGGCGTCGCCGAGCTTCTCGAATATATTCTTGTGTTCCGGCGGAGGAGGTGGGGGAGGTTGAGTTACTTCATGGCGATCACTACTCAAGGCATCGCTGATCTTATCGAACAAATGTTCGCGTTTGGGTTCGGGGGGAGGTGGAGTGGGCTGTTCGGCTGTCTTGTGCTCTCCACCGAACACGCTTGCGGCCTTATCAAAGAGGCTTTCGTGCTTGGGTTCAGGTGGGGGCGGAGGCTGAGCTACAGGCTCCGGTTCGCCTCCGATAGCGTGGCTGATTTTGTCGAACAGGTTATGATGCTTCGATACGGGTTCTGGAGGAGGTCGAGCGACCTCAGGAGGTGGAGGCGTGGACTTTTCCCCGCTGAAAGCACTCGATAGTCTGTCGATAAAGTGCTCGTGCTTGGGTTCTGAGGTAGATGGTGCTGACGCTACTGGTGGTGCACCGTCTTTGCCTTTATCGTCGAGTTTAAGACCCTTCAGAATTTCCAAGTCCATGGTGAACGAAGCCTACAGGAATGGGTATCACGATGATGATGGAGAAGATCAAACTTGGCGTTAGTACATGGTGACGCACGGACCAGCTTCAAGAGGCAGTCGGATCTGCCGGTGGCAGTGCAATACTTTTCCCCACTCAGTCTCTTATCCTGTTGAACTTCCTCAATGTCGACGATTCAACGTCCTCAAAGGAACCTGTCAGAGCTCAAGGCATGAGAATTGGCTCCAGATCTGGGTCAAGGCCAGGTAAGGCCCGAATTCTGTATGCGCGCGAGCCAGTTAACATCATTATTCGCAGGTAGCGTAGTGGTTCTAATAGCGGGGCTTTCCTACATTCTCCCTGTTGACCATTTCAGCCTCTAATCTAAGAACGCGGCTCAAGTAACTCACGAAAAACTGTCCAGATAATTTCCGGGCGGACTGTACCGACACACGATGTAGTTGGAGGTCCGCAAGTCGAATATTTTACCCGCTTCACATATCGCTATTCCGCAAGCCACCTGACTAGTCGTTTTCCATACAACCTGGCATACCCGTCAGCGTTTTAGTCCGGTCCCAGAGTCAAGAACAATTGTGTCCCACTTACCTGGGTAAAATGGCCGGTGGAGGAGGAAAAGCCAGGTCTGTTATCTGAAGAACAATTTCTGAGGTGCGTCCTTCGATTCTGGAACCGTGATGCAATGCCTTACAGTCGTAAAGTCCTAGAAAATCGAAAGTTATTCATTGGACGCGTCCGAAATATCCGAAATTTCGACTTACGGCCCTCGTCCATCCAGGCTTTCATGGCATCCGAAATCCCATACAAGACCATCGTCCCAGCAGCCAAATTCTCTCCATAAGTCTCTGCGTCACTTTTCATCGGAATCCATCAGTTAAACCGGCGTTGAACCTACAAGAGTCAACCAGCATACCTATGTCTAAACTGACACTGATTCGCCCAGTCCTGCGCACCGGGGTAGAGGTCATCACTCCAAGTCAAAGGATCTACTCCGTAACGCGCTCGCTGATCGTTATGCACTCGCAGTACCGCGTCTTTCCACATCTCCGAATCATACCTGTTGCGATCTCCGACGCGTTCCGGGGAAACTGGTATCTCGCCTTCGGTTTTTGATGGATCTGGATGTTGATACTCGGAGGTAGGGGTTATTGGACTACAGAGAACAGAGAAGGTCGCCAAAGCCAGGACTGCGACAAAAGTCGTGAACTTGCGAGAATGCATGTTGGTTCGATGTCGTTATTAGGATGAATTAGTAGAAATAAAATGAATGTGGCGAATAGAAGAAGGCTGTAAGGTAGATGCTGGTCGTAAGGAGAGAGCAAACCGGAGAAGGTTGCATTGGTAAGCACATCTGTGTCTCGTTTACGTTGCTTGCCTTCCTGAACCCACTACTCTCGCACTACTCAAGGGATTATAGTTTTGTATTCATATTGGTGAGAATAATAGTAAATAAACACAGGATAGCCCGTAGAATTGCGTATGACCTTCGACCAACTCGACATTCAGTCAAGGTTAGCTTGGAGGCGACGAGGCCTTCCGACGTTCTCGCTGCATGGTACAGAGTAAATCAGCGGAACAGTTCCCAAGCCAATCATCCAACACTCACGCATAGCGACCAGCAAAGTTACCCGGAGGAGTGTACCTGCAGACAATGTACTTGGAAGGCTGCTGGAAGATTGTGCCTCCCCGGCAGTTGGCAATGGCACATGCAACCTGCTTGCTACTCTTCCATACGACCTATAACAGAGATCGTTGGCCTTAGAGATATCCACAAGAAAAACTACCCACCTGAGTGAAGTGGCCGGTACCCGTGGAGAATCCAGGGTGATTATCTACATTAGCAGTCAAAACTTCGTTCAAGGTTATCCGGAAATTGAGAATACCCACAGTCATACTTGGCTAAAGCACACCAGAGTCAATACCGCGCTGCAAAGGTGAAAGATGAAAGTCACATACAAGCTTCGTCCATCCATGCCTTCAGGCCATTTGTGAATCCATAGGCATTTCCGGTACCGGCGGCCAAGTTCTCCCCGTATTTGCCACCACCGTTACTTTGAAAGTGCCCATTAGTGCCACGTAACAATAGGAGACCATGGGCCGTACGCACCTGTGTTGGAACTTGCACTGAGATGCATATCGTGCAGTATCTGAGTACAATGCGTCACTCCAGGAGAGGCCCGCTGCGCCGTAACGAGCTCTGTATTCGTTGTGCTGTCTGACGACTTGCTGTTTCCAGTCCTCGAACATGGCACTGTCCGCTTCCAGATCTTCCATGATAAATTCGTCGTCCTCACCAAGAGAAAGAGGAGTGTTAACGATCTGGCCAGACTGGGGAAGGTCAGAGAAGGAGTAAACTTCGACCTCGGAAGATTCGCTGTCCAGGACCCATTGAGGCAAAGCAAGGGCTGGTGAAAGAACTGCAAGAGCTACGGCTGCGATGAAGGAGGTTTGGAAGCGCATGTCGAGTGTTGGAGGATGAGATACAAGCTGTTCTGAGGATCCCTTGTGGTGGAGAAGATAGCTGGAGAATTCGAGCTTTTATAGTTCAGTGGCCCGTTCTTCCGCTTCCTTGGGTCATTGAAGGCGGTGAAATAGACCAAGGAGATCGGTACGCATTTTTCGTGCCTCCGAAAACAGACTAGCTTCCCTCTCGGATAACTTAATCAGGACTGGAACGGTGGGCGCTGTACGACGAAAACACTATTATCTGTCAATCTTTCCTTTTCTTGACCCTGGCAAGGTACTCACCAGTTTGGCCCGCGATCCTGGATCTGCTGTCGCTACTTTCGTGTGCCCATTCCTTTGTCGATGATATTCAGGTTGTTACCAATCCTCCGGCCAACATCAGGAAACGGTTGACAGTGAGCACACAACGAACTCACTGTGAGCCGGGGTCTTCTTGTCGGGCGTCCTGCGTCCCCAATACATCAGTTGAACCATCGGCCTCAAAATTGTTGCGAAACCAAGAAAACAAAGGAATATGGGCGCGCAACCAGGGCATTCTATCAAGACCTATCAGTGCGTCTCCTTGAGAGCCGAGAACCCCGCTACCTTTTGTTCTGAACACTTCACTGGAAGTCGAAGTGTTGTAGTTCCATTGGAGATAGCAGTGCCTTCGCAGGACCTAGTGACACGAGATCAGCGCCAAAGCCTGAGAACCATATTGCAGAAGAATGTAGGGGTATCTCGGAGCTGATCCCGTACTTCGAGCTCCAGATACGGAAGTTCGGAATCCGTCACAGTCATGGTGGTAGGAGAGAAAAAAATGTGGGCGCTTATGTACAGTGAAGTCGTACAAGCGCTCAGTACCAGTGTTAACCAATGTGCGGCGGTATATGTAACTACACAACGTCTGCACAATGCAAGTACGTTTCGTTCATCGCCTAGGTTACTGAGGACAACGGTGGGTCAGAAAAAATTAAACGTCACCTGTGCGATTCGAACACACGCGCTCAAAGAGCAACCGCTGAATGCCTACTTGAGAAAGTAGCAGGCGATCCCGTTAACCACTCCGGCAAAGTGACTTGTTGAAAGGGCTTCACAATTCCAACCCATACGTTGACACTATATACGGTTTCTGCAATTTTGTGAAGCTTTCAACCAGATGGTCCCATCTGATATCAGACATGACTAGGACTAGTGAACGGACATGGTTCAAGATTACTCATGGTGCCTCCACCTGTGCATCATTCACCGCTGCTTCGAATGCCTTTGCCTGAATGTTGAACATCTTGCAGTACTCTCCCTTCAGCTCCATAAGCGTGGCATGACTCCCTGACTCTACGATCCTCCCTTCTTTCATACATCTAATGATCCTTTAGCCTGAGAGTACGTTCCCGCAAATGATGGAAGAAGTAAAGCTTACACTATCCTGTCTGCATGCTGTGTTAAAGGACCAAATCGATGCGTGATGAAAAGCATCGTTCGACCCTTTCTAGCAGCTCGAAGGTTGTTGAAAAGCTCTAGTTCACCTTCGGGGTCTAACGCAGACGTAGGCTCATCTACTGCGAGAAACTTGATCTTGTCAGAGTTCAAGCGCATGAATGTTCTCGCCCTATAGCAGTGTAAACTATGGTTCCATAACAGACATGAGTACATTCCACTTACGCAACCAAGCGTTGACGTTCACCACCTGCATGGCCTTCATGAGTACTGCAACACAGAATACAGGTGACGGTACTTCAACTCACCAGAAACACCGGAAGTCTTCTTTAGTCTCTTCAACTTTGTTGCAAGCGGTGTATTGCTCCCCTCGTTGACCAATGCTCCGTACTGTATGAGTCTCGGTTCCAGAACTGTATCATAGCCCGACGGCAGCTTCTTGATCAGCTTTTCAGCTCCACCTGTCCTAGCAGCCTCCACAACCATATCAGTATTATCCACATGCTCTACATGTCCGAGACCAATGTTCTCCCCAATGGAAAGTGGATATAGATGATGATCCTGCGTAAGCGTCCCCATGGCTTGTCGAAGATCCGGTAGCCGATAGTCTTTGATATCTTCACCATCAACGCGAACCTCGCCAGATGTGGCATCATATAATCTCGTCAGGATGTTGACGAACGTAGACTTGCCTGGATCATGATGTCAGCTCACTGCTCCTAGACGGAGACTGAAGTACTAAAGCCTTACCGGAGCCATTGGCGCCAACCACAACGATCATCTCGCCGGCCTCGATTCGTAGAGATACATCGTCCAACGCTTTATTGTTGCTCCCAGGGTATGAGAACGAGACATTCCTACGACGCCGATTGAGTCTCGAGCGATCAACGTATTTCAAAACTCTGTACCGTAGCTCAAAAGCTATACCCTTGTCGGATTCCTTCCCGTTAGGATAAGCTAATCTCCCGTCTTTAATTGATTTTGCCATCGCCTGAAGATCATAGATTTGCTGAACCTGACTGGCGTCTCGTTCCAGCATATCAAGCGCGAATTGCATGGACACAAAGGTGATTTGAAGAAGCGAAGATGATTGTTGGACCGTAGCGATGGATGCGAGGCTGAGATTTGTTGGGTTCAACGCGGCGATGGCGGCGTAATAGATCTACTTATGTCAGAGAAAGTAGGAACGAGTCTTAGATAATGACATACCACTGGGATATCACCGGACAGTTCAGTCATTATATGAGTAATCATTGAACTTCCCGAGTGGTACTGTGTTTCAGCTGAGGTGATTGGAGTATCTCCTAGAGCTTTTCGTGCTTGTCGGTACCCTGAGGGAGAGTTAATGACAGTAATTCAAGTCGCAAAACAAGACGCTACCATTGATGAGATAGTCAATGATGTTACCACTGATGATGTCCCGTTTGTATTTCTGATCCACGAGACCCTTTAGAGCATGCATGCGAAGAAAGGAAGCGTTGATGGCTTCCACGACTCGTGCTATGAAGAAATCAAATTAGAAATTGTCTTATTGATGAGCTGAATATCCCAACGTACGCCTTGTGAATACTATCTGCCGTCCCAACAATAAAAGCGCTGGCCTGAGAAGGCACAAGGCTGCAAAAACGTAACCATAGTTGCCCGTACGAACCGCAATGAAGATGAGCCCCAAATGACCAAGCACCTGTGCCACACTGCTGAGAAAGTACAATGTATGGTGGAACATCTCCTCAGCCGCTTTAGAAGACAAGTGGTCAAAGCTCAGGTTTGCTGTATGAGCTAAGGTGAGATGAGACATAATCTATGAGTGTTCCACCCACCTTGCATCATCGGCAGGTCCATGCGAAGCCTGGCTAGAGGGTGTTCAATGAAAATGCGATAGTCCTGTAGGCAACAGTGCTCACAGGTCACGATGATATCGTCGTAAAAATGTACAATGCGTGAGTGAACCAATGAGTTGATAGTTAGACTATAACACGTTCGTTAGCGTAGATCCAACCAAAGAACAATTCCACGCACCTCCGGTTGACTATGAAAGAAGAAAGGATGACAAAGGTGACCCGAGCTACGATGGCTTGAACTATTGCGGACGTATCTACGTTTCGTGTGGTGAGCCCTCTCTCGATCTATCAACCGGTCAGCAGACATTACAAGGCAAGTCGAAAACTCCTCACGATCTGTAGTATCCGATTCTCTAGCCCTGCCAAAACAGCACTCTGGATTCCGTGCCAAATTTGTGAACCAATCAAGAGGACGATGGGAGCCGGTGCAAGGGGGAGTACATCGCGAAGAAATCTCCAGATGATCCTAGCTGTCCTGAGCCATTTATCCCTGATAAATATCAAGGTGTCGAGTTTGAAGTTGAGGGGGTCGAATTTTTCCTTCTCGAGGTAGATGCGATAGACTCCAAGATGAACCGTCTCTAAGCCATCGCATTCTTCTGATGAGGTCTCTTTCATGGGTTTACTGTCCATCAAGATTGTATTGGGGGATAGATACATGCTGGGCACTGAATTTATACTCACCAGTCACCTGGGGGTCACCGCAGCCTACAACAATACCGGGTCAACTGTTCCAGAGCTTCCCGCAGTTTGATGATTATCATGCCGATGTGATACTTTTACATGATTTCTGAATGCTTTCGGGAGCGAGGAGATCAAGAGAAGTAAAAACGTCGAGTACCCGTTGAGTGGTCGTGGTAAAAAGAGTAATCGCGGCGCCTCCGAGCTTGTTTCCACCTCAGGCTCCTGCAAAGAAGTATGTAGGTCTCACTCGTAATCTCTAGGACCATTGTGATACTAACATATCAATTGCTGGGCTTATGTAGACGTCTCGCGATGGTATAACATTAAGAGATGGTGCATACGCGCCGCTCCTTGCGCACCCTAAGGACCACCTCCGCCCTTTGGTCTCGCAGCTCTTTCCTTCTCCTTCCGCAGCTTCTCGATGTAGATGAATGTGACAAAGATCTCGTCGGCCATATGTTCCCCTGCAGGGAAGATCTCCAGATACGCAGGTACCGATTTTCCAAACATACGAATACACTTGCGGTGGAACTTCGCAACAGGCGTTTTTGCAGCATCCTTCATGAAAAGCTTCATCGATGACATTCAGTTTACCGAAAACTGCACACGCCAATTGCTAGGTACTCACCTCGGAACGAACCAGCCCGAGATTCCACTTGTACTCTTTTCCATCCTTCGCTTTGAAAACTCTGTGCCGCCCATACGGTCCCCATCCTTCCTTCCTAAAGAACTCCTTCGTCTGAATCTCACTGCCGTTCCCAAATCGAAACTTGGAACTCGCGAAAAACTTCCAGTCAATTTGCGCAAGGTACTCGAATCCACTCGACAGACTAGCCAACGCTGAAGACCCCGGCTCGTTAACCAACGTCTCAGCATCTGCGTTATCTTCCTCCCAATCCGTCTTCTTCTCCAAATCAATGCTACTCGTGTCATCTTGCATCTCTATCAAATTGTCCTGCTCTGCTTCATCTTCCGCCCCAGCCAACTTGTCTGCAGGTACATCGACAATAACGCTTGCAGCTGCAGAGGGGAGGACTTTGGTAATAGTTGATGTACGGTTGGACATCTTGAAAGGAGTGTCGACTTTGTAGACTACGTGACCGTTGTCGTCGTAGTAGGTGTTGTTGGTCATGGCACTGATCCCCCATTTCGTTTGGTAGAGTCTCATATTGGGCGCGAGGAATGTTGATAGACGAGGGTTGCTTGCGAACCTTTTATGTATCCTAGAATGGCTCCACAGATCCGCAGTGTGTCTGTCAAGGTTTGTGGCGTGAACTCTGTGTTCAAGACAAGGAAGGTCGTGGGTAGATATGAATTGACCTCCTAAACAACCCCGCGATGGTTAAAGCTCTAGTCCGGATCTGCATTAGATTGTACGGATAGTCATACAATAATATGGGTAGGTTACATATATACTGGCTATTTCGGAAGGAAATGTACTTCGGCTGTCGCATCTACTCCCTTCTCGTCCTACCAATTCTGTTATTGCTCTGCTGCGTATGAGCCGCTGATCTCATAGGCAAGTGTTTCCTACCCGCTATATCTCTTGGCGACATGTGAGACGAATACGGTGGAGGCTACAAATAGGGCATCACTGAATAGTCAATAATCTTCAAGGCACGATGCACGAGGTGCACATACAGAATTAGCCTGAGCCTGCGAAGGCACAGACGATGCAGGAGGCTCGGACTGAGTAGCTAGTCTTTGTTTAGCCTCTGCCTCAGCTGCTTGCACTTTGAATTAACTTTAGTGAGAAGGCTTTCTTGATGCTTTACACCGATTGACTCACTGCGTAGAATACGCTGCTGGCGGCTCTCGATGTATGAATCTGGTCAAAAAATTGTTTGTGAAGTCATAAGTATGAATGATGAACACCGACGTACCTGGGGTAACGGAGCTATTATTGGTCAATGTACCGATTCCAACATTGCGAGTGAAGAAGGTACGTCCGTTTGCCTGAGGAGCGCCCGTGTTACTTGGTGGTAAAGCTAAATCAGACGAGGGTAAGTAGATATGACTGGAACCGATGAATTGAAGCTCACCTCCCGGCATCAAGAGGTCACTATCGTTATGTGTGACAACAAAATCAGCAGTGTTATGGGTACGAAAGTGTTTGA